GCTTCGATTTCAAGTTCAAAAAAAGTGTTTATCCCGGTGTTTAAGGTAAAGTCTGGGTGATATTTGTCTCAAAAGTGCACATTTTGTTGGCAGGCAAACAAACAACTAAATAATATGTTATTCGGTATCGTGGCAACTCAAGAAGTTTCAAATTGTAGATCTAACTAAGTTATATTTCATATCCAGCAGACGAAATGAGTGAAATAAGCGTAAATCGCACGTTCAGATGCAAAAGAATAACCGTTAATTAGTCTCCTTTACTCTCCATACTGAATATACACAGCAAGTTTTTCGGAGAAGCAATTGAGATTTTGTCCCTATACTAGTAGTGGATTAAAGAAACTGCTTGAGTTTGTCTGGTATTGTACGCCCGTAGGAGTTTACAATTCTTGCCTTTTAGATTTACTATTTAGGTGGTACATGATGTCCTTCAGAGTTAACCGATTATCCGTGTTTGCCCTTTACTCTTGCAGCAAGATGGTTGGGCAAGAAATTTCTCTGGACTCCAGCGATGATTTGCGCGGGGCAGATGGCGCTTTATTTTGGCTTGTAACAACTGCGGCACGCTCAGCAACCCTCCTTGGTGTAAAGGTAATTTGTTAGCATCGCCTCTTTGTTTTTAATGTCTGTCGATATGCTCGCATGGTAAAAACGTCATATTTTGGCAAATTTATCGTGTCAACTTTTTGAGTATTTCTGCGTTTGTCCACAAAATTTGGATTTTCTATGTATCTTTATCGGAAATCCCCTGCAGTTCAACTTAAAACGTCATCAGCTTACATATAATATTGTTTGTTTCATTGAAACTCTTAAAAGTCCTTGAGCATCTTATTCCAACTGCTTTCAAGTTGGCAATTCTAAGCAAGCAACCAACCAAGGGTGCGACCGGAGCCTGCTTCTTCCAACAGACAGGCCACAGCAAAGCGATTTCCGAACTGGAATAAATTAATTCGTCGTCAGAAAGTATCTCATGCTAGGCTTCTGGTAAAACGTCATCAAGACCCTGAGCACCTTACATATTACGCATTTCGGCACCTCTTTCGGATGAAGGCATCGGTTTGTCACTACAAAGCCCTAATCGAACCTGATGACCAGTACCCACAGGCAGTGTACTTTGTTGGTAAAAGCTTCTAGGACTGAGCTGCAGGCACGTCCATATGATCTAGGCATAAAGGCGATTCAGCGCTCACATTCTACTCTATCAAATGATGCAGATATGCAAAGTAATTGTGTGTTCATCCCGTAACACTATTTTATGGGCAAAATTTAAGTGTATCCTGACCGTTAGAAATTACACAGACCACTTTTATCTCCTCTACTTATAAATGCATTTTTTGGGCTTACTGTTGAGACATTTGGCAATAACTGAACTGCGAACGGTATTCAGGATTCCGCAAAAACGAAAAAATAAATTGTTCGTACTGAAGGACAGTTTACACTTTCCCCCTAAGCTTCGCCGCAAAAAGGGTGTGTTGAAAGTAATTGGTGAGTATGAGCTATGCAAAACAAGTCTTAAAACAATTTTTCAACTTCCACAGGCGAAATAAACACAATCAATAACCCATTGGCAGACTGGAAAATGAGGAACTCGCACGTCATACAACGCGACACGGTTTACAGTTTTTTTTATCTGTGAACTATTAGGAATAATAGAAGGAAGGTTATACGAGCACGGGTAGTGGTCCATTGTCAGAGGAGTAGAGAGAGAAAGTTGGTGCGTCATGTAAGGCGATATGGCCAATCATTAGTCGGTGTTGCAAGCCTGGTGGTGGTTGTTTGAGGGCATTGTAGTTGGTTGGAATAGTAATATGTCGATTGACGAAGTTTATATCCGACCTCCAAGGTGCGATTAACCGCGTACCTCCTTTATATCATGTTCATGATATTAACTTGAGAGAGACAAAATCAACAGTAGATAGCGACTTGTGACGCATCGAATGGCTGCTTTGCATCCTTGCTAAAGTGCTCGTGACAATGTATGACGATAACTCGAAGGCTTTGATGCCAATTGATATCCGAAATCTCTTAAAATTGAACAGCTTGCTAAAGTGTCACGGGTAACGAAGACATTTTTGCGTATTCACGACCGAGTCCTCCACACATCATAATTATCGTACAGTTTAGAAATCGTTTATTGCCATATCCTTACAAGCTTACCGTAAAAAACGTTCTGTGCCTGAAGAACTTTTGAAATTCGGTACGTACGACTGCACAATGGAGTTACGTTCCATTAGTCCAAGGTTCATTTTAGCCGCAGAAACGCATCGACCATTGATTTGTTGTGATGGTTGTCTGTGTTTGTCGTTTTTTGGAAAAATGAAAGTATATTTTTACGCTTTGCTTGATTGAGAGTGATAAGTTAGTGAAATGTTATCTATGTACAATTGTAGACTCGAGAATTTAAACAATTATAGGTGGGATTATTGGTGGAATTGCGAACCACGTCCAGTGTGTCTGTCGTACCTGGCAGTTAACGTTTGAACCCAGAAAAGTCATGTAGAGCAGGAGTAACCGATACGCTCTGTTCATCAAGTTTTGCAACCTCTCGCATAATGGCACCGGTATTACCAAAATTTCATCTCACGAATGAAGGCGAAATTTAGAGTTCCAGGTGTATGTATAAGTGAAGAAGAAGAGGGTTCGAGCACCAAAACATTTTGTTTATTGTTCTGAGCTTTCGGACTCGTGCAGGAGTCCATCGTCAGAGATAGTAGCGGCAACAGAACGAGCGAGAGTTATAGGCCCTGTAACTGAATTTTAATTAAGCAAGTGCCTTTACTCTGTAAAAGTCAGGCTCGTACTTAAGTCATTCCAAATAAAACGACATGCCAGAAAGACCTGGAGAGGACGAAGACTCACCTGACGAACACCCACTGCCTTGTCCGTCCACATTTTGCGGACGTTCCAAAAGAAGGGAGCGCTGCAGAGTTGACATAGGTCGCCCTCTCCCCAAGTGGGGCTCTCCTGACGTTGAGCGTCCATATGCCAAAAGAAGACAAACCCATCGAGTCCGGCCGAGACGGTTAGATTGGTGTGCGTTCTGCCGACTGGAGGTGTGAGTGGTGCCGGGTCATCTGACGCAGCCGTCGTTTTCTGCAAGATCGGCCTGTACCACCATTCCACCGACGATACGGCCTTTGAGTGATCCTAAAAACCGAGGAAACGGCTAAATTGCTGGGCCAAAAAGACGTGGTTGGGTGATTTGAAACAGAAATATCGCAGATTTTTGTCTGAGAGGACCGTCAAATCAAACGAAGAATGCAGATTATAGTCCACATGAAAGGCAGAAGGTGAGTCAAACTTATTTAAATAACTTTATCCCTGTAGACTGGGAACTGGATAGTTAGGCCACGGTAAATCCTGCCAACGCAATGCTCGATGCTGAGCGCTATGGCAACCTATCGGGGGATAAGTACCGAGTGTTGGAGAAATGTTACCCGCGGAGCTACATAAAATTTAACAGGACGAAAGGACACCAAGATGCTGACCTGTAATTCAGTTTAAAAATACAAGAGGTCTTCAAATGAAAACACCCTTCAAGATAGTAGATTTAAAAACTCCGACCAGTATTTTCACAGTCAACGAATTCCGGACAGCTGGGACTCCTATTGTCCATTCTAGGCACCGCCAGTACTGTGGGTGCAACAGACACACTAGTACTGGGCGCTTTCGAAAATCTAGTGCCGACGATAATGGAGGTACGAGAAGCGTGAGGTAGAGACTACGGGAGGACTAACACTACCGCCGTCTTCAGTTAATAACTGGCTAAAAAGAATGAAATGGAAATGAGACATAAAGGTCTGCCTGAACAGTTTTGCAGGCGGCGTGGAGAAGGTTCTATAGCAATTTGTCAGTTTTACAAGATGACAGTAAAGGGTTTCGCGACGGAAACATTTCTAATGACAACGCCACTCCTGAGGAAATATTCCGTGACTTTGAGTCCGTTTGATGCTGCCAGGCCGGGTGGCGGTTGCTAATGGCGATTTCTTCTAGGCCAAATCTGAAAGAAAACACCTAGACTTGTCGGCACCCGTTCTCAGGCCGAGCAGTCCAGCCTACACAAAGCCTTTAGCAGAGGTGATTGGGGCCGAATTGTCCACGCAGCTGATGGCTACTCTTATCCTAAAAATCATCAGTACGCGTACTGTGATGCATCGACAAAATTTCCGAAAGACCAACTAAGGATTGAGTACCAACTGGACATGACAGTGGACTACTGGTCGAAGTCCGTGCGGTTTTGACAGTTTTGAGTCAAAATGACACAAGGGACAGAAAATGGTAAGATATCAGAACTATACGTAACATAAGTGGGAAGTAAAGAGAACTTCAGTTGCATTATATCATCACAACTTTCCATGAATGTCCATGACTTATGTCATGGAGTCGAGGGTCAGCCAGCCATCTTTAGTGTTAGCCGGAATAAAAAGAAACAAGAAAGTTTGAAGTGATGAGGACGGATTGGACTCGTTTAAGGCAAGGTCCGATAATAGTGAACGTCTAGCAGGGGATAGACACTTCTATGGTTGATAATGCTCATCCTTTCGTCGGTAAAACATGCGCATGGTAGCAAAGTGCGGAAAACGGCACTGAAACCCCTTCTTAATGTGCGACTTTCAAAAAGGGCGAAAATTTTCAGTCACAAACCAGCCCGTTTTAGTTAAAATAAGTGTTTATGCAAATGCGGTTGCAAAACGATGGCTGATGCCGACAACACCCAGAGAACTTGGGAGGCAATAAGAACGCCCAAGCTTAAGAGCATAATCGGGTCACGCAAAATATTACTGCCTGACTGACAGAATAGCCACTGCCAATAGAAGCGAAGAGACGAGTCCCAGGAAGACGTCTTGAAGAAGGAGACACGATCGCCGGGACAAGAGCTTTATTAGCCTGACTTTTCGGATTCCTACTCGAATGCATCATCAGAGACAACGCAGAAACGGGTGGTTGTTGCACAAGGGGATGCGGTATTTATAGGATGCAGTAGCTATGCTACCGCATACCTATGAACATTCACGGCTCCCCCCCTCTTCCGGGATCGTCGCACTTGGTGTGATCATTGCTTGATGGCCGAAATTCGAGTCGATAATTGCTGCAATTTCATCACGTGCGTTGGATGTTGGCGTGATGATTGCTCGACCATCTGACGCACCGACCCCGGTGTTGGGAAAAGTGTTCACCTCTGCGCTCCCCGCGTGGCAAATTACTCCGCCTAGGCGAAGTCTCAGCACCGAGTATGGAATGGGAAGCTCGTTGCACTTGTTGATGGACTGGGGGCCAGTAAACCACGATTCCAGTAGCTCCCGGCTCACGCGGTTGCCACCTCGTGCGAGAATTTCGGCCTCATCGAATTTGAATGTGTGGCCGGATCTCGTCGAACGAGCCGCAACTTGAGAGCTGGCGTCATTTCTGCGCACCGCTGCCGCGTGTTCGGCCATTCTCGTTCGGAGCTGTCTTCCGGTTTGTCCGACGTAGTTGCTTTGTCCGCAACTGCACCAGATCCGATAAACGACTCCAGACGTTTCTAGCCGTGGCAGTGGGTCTTTCGGTTTCATGATCAGACGCCTGATGGTTGCCTCCGGTCTGTGTGCAACTCCAACCCCAAGTGGTGCGAGAAGGCGGCCGACAGTTTCCGAAACGTTCTTGACATACGGAAGTGCCCGCCAAGATTTGGTGTCCGTGCGGTTAGGCCTTTCGTCCCTTTTGCGTATGCACCGGTCGATGAAGTTGCGCGGGTAGCCATTGGCTTTGAAGACCCGTCGGAGGTATTGTAGTTCGGCAATTTTGCCTTCCGGCTCAGTGCAGTGCGTTTCGACACGCCGATAAAGCGTCCTTACACAACTGCGTTTGTGGCTGATTGAGTGGTTACTGTTGAAGTTCAGTACTTGCATCGTATTTGTCGCTTTCCTGAACACTTTGGTTTTTAGTTCACCACAATCTTTGCGGCATACGAGGACATCCAGGAAGGCCAGCTGGTTGTTCTCTTCCTCCTCCATCGTAAATTGAATGTCCGGGAAGACGGCGTTGAGATGTTCTTGGAATGTCAACACCTGATCCCGTTCGATGACGACGAAGGTATCATCCACATACCGGACCCAGAATTTCGGTCTGTGGTGTTGGAAGACCAGCGACTCTAACCGTTGCAGGACCGCCTCGGCGATAAATCCCGAAATCGGCGAACCCATTGGTGTGCCCTTCACCTGTTCGTAGATTGTCCCGTCGAACGTGAAGTACGTCCTGAGACAAAGCTTCAGGAGCTGAAGGACTTGGGCGTGTCCAAGACGGTTCTCCGTTTCATCGTATTTGCTTTGTAGTAGCAGCTCAATTGTCTCGATCGCCAGGTCCTGGGGAATAGAAGTAAAAAGGGATGTAACATCAAAAGATACCATGACCTCATTTGAATGGATGCTTACGCCTTTGAGTTTCTCCAGGAATTGTGCTGACCAAGAGACCGTGGTGTCTGACTCAGCGGTCAGGAACTTAAGACGCCGGAACAGCCACTTAGCCAGTCCGTACGTTGGAGTCCCTTTGAGCGACACGATGGGTAGGAGAGGAGCGTCGTCTTTGTGCACCTTAGGGAGGCCACAGAATCGGGCCAAAGCCGTATCTTGGAGTCTCGCCATGCGTCTGTCGGTCGGTGTTATTGCACCTGAGTTCTCCAAGGCCAACAACGTAGCATTAGTTTCGCGTGTCAGCGCCTTTAAAGGGTTCGTTGCACATGAGACATAGAATTGTCGGTCCTCCAGTAAACCTTTGGCTTTTTGAAGGTAGTCGGTCCTGTCCAGTACAACTGTGGCGCGTCCTTTGTCCGCTGGCACGATGACCAGGTCTTTGTCGGCTTTGAGTTCTCTAAGCGCATCACGTTCGACCTTGGAAAGCACTGCCCGCGGCCTGTGGGCCATCAGGAGAGACGACACTTGGTGTCGGATGAGGCTCTTAGTCTCCTCCGTTGCCTCCGTCTGACAAACGATTGATTCCACTGCTGCAATAATGTTAACAGGTTTGGCGTCAGCCGTGTTAAATGAAGCTTCGTACCGTAAAACCCGCATTTGATCCTTCGTCAGCTCCTTTGATGACAGGTTGTGCACCCGTTTGTCGTTTCTGGGCGACGTTGGATTGGGCAGCTTTCGAAATTTGTTCTCCAGTGCTGCGTCGCGTATCGTGCTCTGTTCGCGGGCTTGTTCAGCTATCCTCCGCAGGCTCAGATTCGTACCGATCTCACCCATGAACTCACAGCATCTGGTCTTTTCTTGGTCAATCCTTTGACGGTACTTACGAAGTCTCGCGTGGCAATCTTGGAGGAGCACTCGGATCATCCTTCTGCCGTGCTAAAATACTGCTCGTCTCGCCAAACCCGTGTTAACCGGTGGCTTGTATGAAACACATTTCGGTAACACATTATTGTCGAGACACCTGTGCAGAAACCGGATCTGCGAATACGTAGAGGCCTCCCGAAGGGCGAAGGTTTCCCATCGCCGTGCCGATCGGAGCGCATCGTGCCCAAATACATTGCCTATAGAAGCGAGGAGACGAGTCCCAGGAAGACGTCTTGAAGAAGGAGACACGATCGCCGGGACAAGAGCTTTATTAGCCTGACTTTTCGGATTCCTACTCGAATGCATCATCAGAGACAACGCAGAAACGGGTGGTTGTTGCACAAGGGGATGCGGTATTTATAGGATGCAGTAGCTATGCTACCGCATACCTATGAACATTCACGGCTCCCCCCCTCTTCCGGGATCGTCGCACTTGGTGTGATCATTGCTTGATGGCCGAAATTCGAGTCGATAATTGCTGCAATTTCATCACGTGCGTTGGATGTTGGCGTGATGATTGCTCGACCATCTGACGCTAGAGAACCACGCTCTCCCACTCGCTTAAAACCTCACGATAATTGAGGTTTGAGGTCAGTGTCGCATAAAAGTTGGTGGCCTCGCTGAGTGGCTTCGTTTCGGGTAATATATTGCTAAACAGCCCGCCTGACCCTCCGGAGGCCTACTGAACTATGTAGTAAATGTGCTGTTTCATGAAATGTTGACCGACATTTTGAAATGTGCCTTCAATTTAAAAAAAATGCTTTGCGTCATCGGTCGATGACTGGTCTAAATGCCCTATAACTGTCGCTAGTTCTGTTGCTGTCACTATCTCAGACGATGGACTCCTGCACGAGTCCGGAAGCTCAGGACAATAAACAAAATGTGCCGGCGCTCGAAACCTTTTCTTCTTCACTTATCTTTCATCCCACGTTTGCACATAAGAGCAGGCGTTGTCTAGGTCATCGCGTGTAATGTTAAATGGATGAAAGAGTTTTGGAGGTCTGGTTAAGGGCTGCCCACAAAGAATAAACACAAAAACACCTTAGGACAGTGAATGTTTTCGCTTTTGTCTATCTCTAGGACTGCGAAAAGTGGCTTGAAGTGCATATGGCCGAGAACACGGGATATGCAGATATGGATCAACAGAACGATGAAGGAGAGAACAATAAAGTCAAGAAGACTGATCGTTTCCTCCGAGGTGTTGCCATCCCAAACCTGGTTGCACTACTCCTATGCCACTATCTTCCGGACTACTGCCATCGTGCTGGTAAATGTTATCATTGCCGTCAGCACATTTATCCGTCTTGCCTATCATTCGTACTCTTTTCTCCGAGCGTTGGTTTTACTGGCCTGTTACAGGAATACTGCGGTGCTTGACCCGTTTAAAAACCGAAAAGCTTCTCGGGATCTTTAGTGTTGGTCTTTTGCTTTAACGCATAGGCTGAGCTCTCAAAGCCTGTTCTATTTTCTTCACCGTACTGTGCTGCCTGAAACTAAAATGTCCCAAGAAGTCATTGGCTGTAGAAAAGGCTATTTTGTTATGGCTTTCCCGTCCCTGCCCTAAATTCCAGGAATTAGGGGGCTAGGTTTAGGATTATGGTTAGAGTTAGAAGAGCTAGTGTTGATGTTGTGGTCGGGGTCCAAGTCGTGACACAGGAATAGGTACCACTGCAATTTAGCGCGAGGCCACCAGTTGTACGGGGGGAAGTCCATATTCCCGTGTTCGATCAAAACTCGGACTGAAAAACGAAGGTTTCTTTTCCGGACTTAAATGTAAGTTATACACTTGCATAAAACTGGACCAATTTCGTGACAGGTATACAGGAATAACTTGCTTTGTGGACGAGTTTCTGTGGCTAACCAGAAGGAGCGGTGTAATATCCTCGTCCGTGCAGTTGATTTTGCGAAATTGACTATAACATTATTCGAGTCTACTTCCTACTCCTTTGCCACTCGCTGTGTTTGTCCCCCTTCCTGACTATTCGCGCAACAACTCTTTTGCCAGCACTTCTGAGTTATTCATCAGGGTCGTAACCAACTCAGTCGGTTTATGCAAGTGTTCAGATGTATGAGCTTGCTGTTCATGCTGGCTGTGCGCCTTAGAAGACAGCCCTCATTCATGTCAACTGATCGTGCCTGTGACCAGGAACCGTCAATTCAAGGTGAACCTGTCTTTCGCACACTTGTCCCCTTCCTTGATGATGCACCCTTCACTCGACCTCAATCCTTTACAAGGCAGGCATGATTTGCACAGGCCCAAACCCAGGTCAATACCTTTACCCCGAGGTCGCGCCTTTAGGCGTCTACACAGTAGAGGTGCGTTCGCGCCGTGGGCGGTTGCTGTTGGCGACGCTTAACGTCACTCATATAGCCACGCGTTTTATGTGAGTAGTCGTGGTCAGGGGGCGTTGCCTAGTGTAATGCTCTATTTAAGTTAAATCGAAAGCGGGCGTTGCGTTCTCAATGCCGCTGCAGCCGACTTCAATAACTGCTCGACTCCCGATCTCCTGTTCGCCATCCAAGGTGGAAGTGGAGAATTCGTAGCGCAACTTTAAACCTTAGGTACACGGTGTAGTAGATGAAAAGTGCTTAACAAGATGCCTGCTTGAATAGGAGTTAGATTTTAAAATTGACTGCTCGGAATAAAAATTCCATCAGGGTTTTGAAGTCCAAAGGCCATTTTTCAAAATGTACAAAATGAACATTTTTTACCACTGAAAGGAACTTTGTTATTCAAGGTTACATAGAATGGCCCTTATCACTGTTCACCTGCTTAATTCCACTTAAGATTGGTCTCCATAATTTGGAAACCTTATGTCCCTACCATACTTCGGAATTTAAGCATCCACTCGTAATGTTTCAGCGAAACATTACAATTTCAAGATAACGTTGTAGCAATCGTAAATCGTGCACTAAAACGGGCTCTTTTATATAACTTCGCTGCTATCAGTTTTAGTTTTGTGACTCATTATAACCGGGTTCGAAACTATTCAATTGCCTGTAAAGTTTTCCGCTTGTTAGTGCTTTCCAACTGAACCGCTTTGGGTCAAGGACTACGGACTTTCCGTAACTTTCATTAAAAGGAAGAAAACGAACAGGATACAATGGGCTATTAAACCCGAAACAATCATCAACTTGGAATATCCTGAAAAACATAAACCTTTCTTTGAGATGTCCGTACAGGAACTAGACTGGCAGACTGGGGATGGCTGCTGGGCTGTCAGTGTGCGTGAGTCGCAATGGTGGAATTTTAATATGGACACCCTTGCGAGCATCAGCATTCGCCTTTTGTCCTTACAATACGCGTTTTAAATATCAGTTGTGTCGACGGATTGTGACGCCACAGTTTGTTGTTTACGTCAAGGTCGGTGGATACTGACCCAAATGGCCGATTAATTGGTAGCCCAGTTACTCGGGCTGTTATGGAACACCTACGGCATTACTTTAATTCGATTAACAGGAGAGGCCCTGGCCTACGTCCTGTCGCCCGAAAATGGATTATTTACCGTCTTTTAAATGGTTTCATACTTATACTTCCAATGTGTTTAGACGTAGTAATCTTTGTCCGTGACATAATGAAAACGACCACGGCTGAAAAACAACTTTTTGCGTCATTACAGTCGACAGGCCAAGAGTTATTATTTTATGACCGGCTTCAGAGTTTAGAATGAATTTCGGGAAGAAGGGCGAACTACCGAGCGCGGACACGGAACACAACATTGATCGGATACTGGAGATTAGTACTCCGCATCTTCCACCTTCCATTATGGACATCCTACCGGCCCCCAGGACGGCAAAGGGCGGATTGCCGTGTGAAGACTTTGCCTGTGGCCTCGCTCGCGCCTCGCCTCAACGACGTCTTCAGGCAGCAGCCCTCGCAGGCGATCTTTTTTACTGGACGGAGGTGAGCAAGACGCCTCAGTCACAAAATGGCAAAGTTGCATCAGGTAGATACTTCGTTACCTCCAACACTGCCCTTTTTGCTCTCTAGATACTCGGAGTCCGCGTGGTCATACTGTGCGTGTCACCTTTCTGGGCCTCAAGGGATGTAAGCGTCTGCTATGCCATGATCAGCAAACTATGGTCCTCACAGCCGGATGTGTGCTGGCGGTTCTCTTGCACCTGATTCCCTGCCGGTAGAAACACCTGCGCTCCCACTGCGCAAACGGGTCGTGAACATAGTTGCCGGTCATCCTTCTTTCTGACCCGTTTTTATTGTTGGTTTAATTCCTGGTCAAGTGTTTGTTGCGAATCAAGAGGTGCGTTGGTACACTTAGGTGTGGGTCCGGCTGTCCCAGCCACCTGCGCCCTCCTGCCCCCGGTCCTCTTGAAGCCGGGCTCACGTAGGGAGGTGGGAGGGAGTGCTGTAGATGCTGCGCAAGTTTACCCTCGCTATAAACTAATTCACGCGCAAGTCCCCGTGTCTGCTCTCACCTTGCTGCGGACATCGACAGGCGCGGCGGTCGAACTGTCGTGTGTGTATGTAGAGTGACTGGCTCGAGGACTGACTGACAAACAGGCCCAATGACCCTTCCCTATTGTGACCTCCGTGGCTCACTCACGATAATGAGATCCGAGTCGCCCGTTGTTTCTGTGAAAACTTGGTACATTTTGCGGCGACCAAGTCCTGTGTAGCACGCGTAGACTGTGTTTAGATTTGTCCGCCACTGCGCCCGAACCCATCTCCGGCCGTCTTGCCATCAAAGCAAGGTGGGTGAGGGAGAAGTGAGTCTGGTAAATGCTGAGAAAGTCTGCCTCAAACCGTCGGTTACTTTTATGCAACCACAGTGGGTGACGTATCCATGAAATGTTAACTGAAATTCTAAAATAGTTCCTCGTTTAGGAGGAATTACATGGGTACGCTTTGTAAATTAGACCATAAAGTTTTCTACTCGAAAAAAGGCAACTTT